CATCGCGCTATCATTAACGAGTCGAATCGATTATCGTACCTGTCAAAGTTCAATCTTCGATGCAACTTATAGCGAATTTCATAAGCGACTACCGTTGTTAATAATCGCGCGCGGGAGCCGGCGACGAAGATTATTTAATACTTATCTAATGTCCGTTACGCAAGCTTCCTGTTTGCTCTACGACATTTATAGGGGCGGACAGTATATTAATAATTATAGAGGCAAGGTAATATTAATAATTATCTGAGCGTACTGTTTAAATTAATACACTCAATTCCATCTGAATTTTTATCAACTAAAATAACTGCTCAAAATTAATTTGCATTTTCCGTAGCTTTTTAAAGCTAAATACTGCTTCTCGGCTGTATTTAGAACTGCACTTGTGATCGCAACATTCTCTTTTCCAATATAGCTTAATTAAAAAATTAATATAATATTTTAAAATCAATGTCCTTCGATCTTTTTCACTCATCAATCATTAATTTCGTAGATAAAATTTACATCGTTGATTTCTTTCTATTATTTAATTAAGAAAAATCTTAGTTTCTCTGCATGCTCACTCAATTATCGACGTAGTTTTATACCAAGTTTTATATTAAGGCAAGAATCGTTTTAGCTTTAGCCGGAACGTAGTTCGGCGCTAATGCAGTAGACGAACGCGTTGTCATCGTCACCCAGTATATGTCTCGCGAAGGAAGTGAGTAACAAGAAGAACCGGTCGACCTGGCACATAACCGCTTCGTATCCGTCATTTTTCCTTAGCTGATATACCTGCTTCTACCCTGCCCTCTCACGCCTGCTATCTGGCGTCTCCGCTCGCCCGTACGGACTTTCCTTCGCGTGAATGTCACGTTGGCATTTTGAAGCGAGTCGCTAATAACTACTACCACTACTTCGGTAATTCTCCCGTTGACGATAAAGAGATATGTGCCCTGCCGTTGTACGAAGGGAATCAGCATAAATCTCATAAAGCAGAACTTTTTGCCGCACAAAAGAATTTGCTATTGCAATCGGGACTTTTTAAAAATCGAATGATCGATCTTTCCTTTCATATTTTTTCTATTTCCAATTATTTCCATATCCCGATAATTGTCTGAAATTAAAATTCTGACAAAACAATTCGCTTGAAAATTTATTTAAAAAATAATACTTCGATATTCATTTATATTTTTATCAGAATGTTGTAATTTAAATTGAAAATTAATATTCTCTTTTAAATGTACTATTAAAACGATCTAACTATCTGAAATAAACGATACAAAAGCGACAATTATCTAGTATCTACGATTGTAAAATGCGGCACGCGATACTTTATCGGAGTTATCCGGTTAACAAGTCGCGCGAAACGTTTGCCGATTTGCCGCTGACGCCGGGGGGGTAAAAGGCTTTCGGTGTTTTTCAAGCCGACGCGAAACACGATCGATCTCGCAATTCTCGGCCGAATATGCAGTACGGATCGCGGGAAGGAAAGGAAAAGAAAAAAGGCGCGAGAGGCAAGCCGATTGTGAGTGAGGTGCGATTGCGCGATCGGGTTACGTCAGGGCGTATCTGTCCCGCTTGGAGTTTCCTGGTGCAGATCGGCACCAGTATATTAGAAACGGCATACATTAGGAATGGTATTGCACTCGGTGTATCCAGTCCCACGACACGCGGAAAGGTCGCCGAAGGTTCACGGAGGGAAATTCGCGCAGAGTGCGCGGTCACCGCCGAGCGAACACCGCGCTCTCTCTCTCTCTGAAACTCGTCGATTTGCAATTTTCCGGCAAACGAGCGTGGCAGCGAACGAAAGGGATTATGTTGTCCCTCGGATGTTGCACATCGGATTCTGTGTGTGCGCGGAGTCGCGTACGAGACGCAATTAGGATAACAAACCGCGCGTGTGTCGATCGGGATAGACAAGGGAGAGGCGGAAAATGTCGGCGCCCACAGAGACACGTAGGCTCTCTCACAGAGCTATCATTTGCGTTCGCTTCTGGGGCCTGAGTTGCGCGCCGATCCGACACGCATGACTGATTCGCGCTTATCTAGGCACGTGCATACGCAAAACCGTAATCTCGCGGCGTGTGTTAATAAAACGCCCCTGCCGCCCAACGGATAATAATCCGGAATCGATCTGTCGATACGTCAATGCATTAAGATCGCCGCTAAGAAATGCACGACAACGCTGCGAGCAAGCGTTCCCTGACGGATTCGTATGTATTAGACAAAGCGCGCGTTGAGCGAGATACGAAGAGAACGATGTAGGCTTAAATCATACTTACAACCGGTATTTCTTATAAGCCGCGCGCTTACTGTGGAACGAGATTTCGTTTCGTACATTATAAATGCGAGGACACATCGAGAATGAAATGATTTATCTCGAAAATATTTAAAAACGATGGTGTCTTCGTGTGTACAAATGATATATTTGCGATCGTTCTGTGCTCAGAACCGAGCGGCTATACAATTTCGAATAATTAACGTGGCTAATAATAATATTGAATTAATATGATAGCGCTCGTCAGCTATTTTCAAATAGTAATTGTTCCAATAACAATTGCAACGTATAATATTGCACCGAGCAACCTGTATCTTTTACGTTTTCCAATAAATTTTGTTCTCCGCATGTTCTCTCAACGCTGCAGCAAAATAAATATATCTAATTACTGCTCTCCAGCGTACGCCCTTCTATTCGCTCTTCAAACTGCGCTCTCGCCGGCGCGTATTGCCGATTTTTCGACCTTAGAGATCACTCTGTAAAAAGACACCGTATCGTGACATAGTTAAGGAATTATTGGTACTTAGACCTTGTAAGTGCGGCGACCTCTCTCCTCGCGTGACTCCGCGACATGCTACTTCGTGAAATAGCAATGCATCAAAAATCTTGGCGAGTGGCAGTCAAGGCTCCGATGCTTTTGCAACTCTATCAGCACGAGCCACACGAACGGGCGATTGTCCCGGCGAGCTTATCATCTGTTTGCTCCAGAAAGTACCGCAAAGATTACATCTCAAATCTCGATACAATGTCTCTTTATAAAGCGATCCCTAAGGTCGAAAAATCGGCCTAATAACATCCGCCAACAGTAAAAGGTGATTTAAAACGCGAGTAAAAACGTATCTATTAAAAAGTCATAATTACATTTCATTTATTTTATCAAATCATAATAGTAAAAAAAAAATCGTTTGCACGTTGCAATATCACAAATAAATATTATAGTTGAAATATGAAAAACTGTGTTATTATTAAAGATATTTTTAATTGATAAAATGCATATAAATGTTTGCCGTAATAATGACAGCAAGTTATTGCGCGTTTGAAAAATTGTACAAATTTTTACTAGATAATAAATCTTCCTCCCTCGGACAGTCCAGAAATAGAAATAATCCTTTTGACTAGAAAAATGAGAGAGGAAGGGAGCCAGCATATCTGTTGCAGACTGAATCTTCATACATTTAAATTAACAAGCGCAGATATCATCGAGATGGAAAGGAAGATCCGCGCCATGCGGTGTGTATATAATGTGTATACTTATTGAGAGTAAATTACGGATGACTGCTTATGAATTTGGATCGAGGCTCGAGCGATAAGCAACACGCAACGATCCGCCGTTGGATCCGCGCGTCGTGGAAAATAAATCGAGACACGCAACTCATACGCGTTTGCATAATGCGTTAGTCCGCGATCTACGCGAGGGCAGAATTAACTTTTCACGGCGCGGAAGCGCTCGATATATCGTGTCGTGCGTCGAAAACGAGGTGGAAAGGAACGAAAGAAATGTAATAATCGCGCTTGTAATATCCATCCGTTCTTAGCCATCGTAACAATCGTGAAGCAACGACCGCGAGTAATTGCTCCCGAAATGCTCGCTAACGCGAAACACTATGCTCGGAATCGACATTTCTCGCCAGTCACGATTAGTAAACCGCACTGCGGCGAAGATTGAACGAGAGGCGGTTTCTGGATGACTTGTCAACTTACATAAAATCTTCGCTTTCTCGTCGCTCAGGTCTCGTCGCGAGCGTCGTCTCTTCCGCTACTCAAACAACACGCGTGTCAACAGACATATAAAAAGAAGTAGGGCGCTTTTTAGACTTCTCTCGAACACTTATGTTGCCTGGGTAAATATTATCGCGATCGCGATCGGAGATAGGCGTATTCCACGATCGTTACACGAGCTTCGACAAAACGGCGAGGGATCTTCGGGAATGCCAAAGGTGCCACGCGCAAAATGCGTTCGCGTGTATGCCATAATAATGACACTCGTGCTGCAAATTACGGACATTGCATACCAATCCGGCCGCGTTCGCCTTGCGAGCTTCCTCTCTTGCAGTTCGCGAAATGAAGATATCATGGCCCGCTTGGCCTTGCCCGCTCGACCTTTATTATAAAATGCCTTTTAAACTCGGGGCACGCGAGAATATCCGCGCGCATAATTGTAATGCATAAGAATTTTTGTTCGATTTCAATATTCCAAAATGTGGTAAAAATTACATCTTATTGTTTCAATTTTTTTTTTAATTTTATGAGAAGAGAGAACAAGGTGATTCAGAAGTTGACTACAGCAACAGCAGAAATTGAAAATTATTATTTTGGACAAACAAGTTTACAGTTTTGAAAAGATTTTAACAACTTAGGGCCAACTTGTTCCAACTTTACCTCTCAGTTTTCTATATCAGTAACTTAGTAATCACGGTTGGAATGCCGAATAATATTATCTCTTGGCAATGATAAATTAACCTGTAGAAGAATTTTATCAACTGATAGAACACTGATATTTACTGGTATTTATTTTAGATAACAGAGGGGTGAAAAGTCTGTCAAAAAGTTGAAATAGTTAATCAATCGGCCCTTAAACAATTAATAATAAAATAAAAAACCAACTTGGATAAATGCGTAAGAATAATTTAAAATAATGAAATTTAAAATTTCCAGTCAACTTTAGGCTATTGTTACAATCAACGCCTCGCAGAAAGTGATTTCTGAGAGTCATCGGATTCGATTTTGCGCCCTGCGAACTTACCATGACTGGTGCACGTGTGCGCCTGTGTATCGTCTAATGCCGCAGTTGTTGGTCCAGTAGAAACATGTCCACGAAGGAGGCAATCGGAGCGATGAGAGGAAAACTTGAAATCGCTGTCTCTTACTCTCGCCGTGTCGTTGCTCCCTGCACAGTGTCAGCACGGATCTTACACCATACGTAAACACACACACAAAAGAAAAGGGAGAAAGAGGGACGCGTGTCACGGAAAAACGCGCCACGCATACAAGCGCGTCGGTGCGTACGCCTCCTACACTTTTCCACTCACCAGACACAGACCTCGTTTTAGCGTAAAATTTTCCGTTTTTTTTTCCGAATTTGCGATTAAATCTTCGTCCGAGATATCGTCGCGCGATCGGCAGCCGAGATCGGAGAACGAAGGGGGCGAAAATCACCCTCCGGCTGTGTTTCCGACGACGCGCGTCTGTTCTCTTCGGAAAAACGTGCGTGCAGATGCGCGACCGGCTCGCGTATACAGTTACGCGCCGGTTTAAACAGGCCAAGAGAAGCCGACGGACGGATTTTCAACCTGGCGAACACCGACTGAGCCCACGACCGGCAGGTAGGTACGCCGTCGCCCCTCCACCGGTCGCTCGTTCGGTCGCTCGGTGCCGCACCACCACCGGTCGCCCGCTCACCGTGTTCTCCATTCTCATTTCCTTCGCTTCACTTGCCTTCGCCGCTCCTTCTCCTACCTCGCCTGCTTCGTCCTCCTTCGCTCCTTTCGTCGTATGCACGCGCGTTTCTCCCGCAGAGACGGCTCTACCATCCGGCGAACTGGGTGACCGCGCGTGTGAAAGTGCATCGTCGCGCGTTAGATTACAACGGGAGGCATCCGCGTGCATCTTCATAAACGCTCGAAATCGAAATCCTTATTGCACAGGACTGCCCGCATGTCGAGGATCTTGATTGCGCTGACGATCATGCGAAACTGCGAAGTTTCGTCAACAGCTGATTATCCGCCGATTCATTTTTTCATACACATCTTTCATATATTATTTACATCAAATTAATAAGAGATATATTTTACTTCTGCAAAATTTTTGCATCACAGACGCGCGAAAACTTCATTAAAATGATAAATTCACTGAGAATGCACACAAATGCCTCGCGTTAAAGAGAGCAAAAATTTCTTAGAAAGTATATTTCTAATATAAACTTTTGCTGTGAATTGTGTCAAGGTATCGCCAAATAGCGGTCTTCACCTTGAACAATTGCGACGAACACACGGAGACCTGATATTTACGGAAGTTTTTACGCGCACAAAGGCTTCGTATTAAACCATGAGAAGAGACTATAAGATTTCACCAGGATTTCGCGTACATGAGAAGTTTAAATATCTATAAGCGCTTTCACCGAAGCCCTAGTGTGTACAATGATTCGCTCAATAAAATGGATTCTCACGGTATTCATCAGCGGCGAACACGCCTAGGGCATCGTTAATTCTCGCGCCGCCTCTGTCCCCCTCCTCGTCGTTGTATCATCGTGGCTTATTAACGCACAAGCGGTAGACCATAGTTATCATATCCTATCGGCGCTAACAGCATTACGTCCTGCATAATTATGCACCTTTCAGTGGACGGTTATTATGGCCAAACTACACGATCACGGACAACAATTACATCGTAACATTTCATATCGCAAAACGATAACGATTATAAAATTTAAGACTGAAGATAGAATCGCTCATCCATTCACTGTCGCGATATATTTATTGCGACAGCGACGCTTATAATTTGGCGACGTTTCACATCGTTTAATGCGTTTGCGATACCTTAATAACAGAAAATTTACAAGCTTGGACCTTAGTAAACGAAGGAAGGATATGCAGGAGCATTAAATTATTGGTCGTAACGGGAAGAAAACAAAGGTTTTCTTGCTCAACAAATATACCCAGCAAACACAGAACATTGCAGCAATATTGCGGCAATATCGCAATATTGCAACGTTGCCGCAATGTTACTGCAATGTTCTGTGTTTGCTGATATATATATATTATATTTATAATTAATATATATATTTAACTAAAGATATTACTTTATTCTTATATCTCTATGAGCAAGAAATTAATGAGACGCAATAACAGCGTCTGGTTTTTCATCGTCTTCTACTTCTTCTCCTGATACTCTATCTGTAGATATATATTCTTCAAAGTTAACTTTAAACATTTCTCCTGATGGTGGACACGTAATGCGAATTCTAGTAAAGTATAATGGTACAATCATAAGAGAACACAATTATGTAAGTGAAAAAAAACATGATTATAATTTTGCTAAAAGTTACCTGGTGATAAAAGGTCCAGGTCGACGTGGCTTTGCAGCATCAACGTCCTGGACAACAGCGGCGAAATTTTCCTCTAACTGTTTCGTGTCCATATTGAGCTAAAATTAATTTTGATCGATAAATAAATCATAAAATAGATTAATCAATAATCTTCTCCATCGTTTCACTCATAATGTATGATTAACAGAATCATTTAATACATTGTTTTAATGTGTACTATATATTGTGTTATATATTTTATTTACTGTTTGTAATAATATGAAACAATCGTATAAATAACAGCAGAACTTACCGTTCCAAATTCAATATCGATGGTACCATAAAATTTCACAACATCATGTGGTTTTGCTGTGTATTTTATGCCGGTTACAAATTTTGTTACAAGCATCTTTATGTCAGGATTCAGAGTACCTAAACATAAATTAACGAAGGATATAAATCATTTTTAAAGAATGGCACAAAAAATGTCAAAATCTATTATTATATATTTCTACTAACCCATTTTAGTGTTGGGAAACTTCTTTCTCATAATCCCTCTAATTAATAACAAATCAGGTAAAATGGTTGGTTCCGACACAACAATGTCATACTCTTTTATTGAGAATTCTCCATTCTAGAATAGTATAAACCCCATCAGTAATGATTTATCAGAAGATATAATCTTCACATATTCATTACAACAAATATTGATGTAATATCATTACCTCACCTGAATCTTTTTTATTAAATCTTTGCCACCAGCAAAGTGAGCTCCGGCATCTATCGCAATATTCTGCATTTCAGGACTTTTACAAAATGCCAATATCTTCCTGTTTTGATCTTGGCTAAATGCATGTGGTATGCATATTATCCGCGAAAAAGAATCTACAAATTTATTCTTTTTTGCATCCTAAAAACACATTTAACATAACTTTATACGTGTGTAAATGATTTTTTATACTTTGACATACTTTAGTCTTACCTGCATATCCAATTCTATAAATGCTTTTATAGGTGCATTTGGTAAATTATACATAGTAGGATGATGCGTTTCTCGATGATTTTGTACTGCTTCCTCAAAGGAATAAACTTTCCATTTGTGATATCTCCCTATCCATACGTTATCTATTGGATCTGTCCTTTGACTGTCGTCTAATATAACATCTTCAACGTTGGTTTCACCCTTCTGTATTGCACTAACATAAGAAAATAATAGAAAATATAATATCATATTTGTTATATTATTTTTTTCTGATAAAAAAGATAAAATATTATTGATATTTGTTTCTTGCAAGTAAATTGTGTCAATATTTGCATTGTAGAATATTGGGGACACAACATTAATAAAAATGTAAAACTCGATTGTAAAATAATTTATGTTATGAAAATTAAGGCCTTACATTCTTGTCTGTCTCTGATTGTGTGGAATAAAACCCACTTTTTCAATAATTTTTTTGACTTTCTTCTTCTTGGCCTTTTCTCTTGTACCTTTTCTAGCAGCATAGTTCCGCATTTGTAGAAAACCAATGGGACAAAAATTAAGGCCTGTCACATGCCTGTATGTTGAAGAAAGACTATTTAGCAGCCAGCCTGAAAAAAAAACCATCTTTAGATATGAGAGAAAATGTAATATCGTTTTATTTATTGAATTAAATAAAAGTAAATATAATTTAAGGTTAAACATATTGACTTCTTTTATAAAGAAAGACTTTTTACAGAGATCTCGTTATTATTTGTTAGTCAACAATGATGAAAAGAAAACATTTAATTATACAGCAATTATTTTGTCATGTATTGTCAACAGAATATTGAAAAGACTAGGATAAAATTCATACCGCTGGCTGCTGCCATGTTTTCTAAAGCGAAACTCAGGAATGAATAGGTTAGGGTTTAGATTTGATACGAACGTGTTGAATGAGAACACAGGCATGCATACTGTGATAAGAATCGGAAGTTTCTGTCAAACACTTTTGAACATATTTCTGCAAGATTATATTTTCTTTTTATAAAACACAATCTTTTTTTAGCATAAACTGCCAAATCGGTAATTAACACTAAATACTAAGATTTTAATTCTTGCTAAATCACTAAATTATAGAAAAAAATGCTAAAGATATTAGATGAACTGCACAAGCGATAGTAATCATAAATGTAGAAATACACAGAAAAATTCTACTGCTCGTCAAATTGTATATTTCTAGTTGATTCCTAGCACTTCCTAGTATTGTATTATTTCGACAAAGAACACCTCCTCAATTTCCAATTTTATCTTATTCTATTATCTATTTTTTAAAAGTTTAATTTACTCTCGCTTACTAATAATAATAATAAACACAAGATAAGATTTTTCTTATATTTCAAGATTTTTTTTATTCATTATACATTTCATATTTATTTAGCCTTCTTGCTCTTGATCTTTCTCATATAAAACTCGAGTTCCTTGCCTTCCAGAATATATCCGTCCGATCTGCCACATTGGCCAGGTCTGCTTGCTATGCAAGCTAAAATTGAAATAAATTATTACTTTCTAGTCAGCTTCATTAGACATAAAATACATGCATAATGAAAAAGAGTAAAAAATATTTTCTGGTCGAACATTAAAGCTTTTTTACATTTAGTTCAAAATCATTAATTTACAAATATTAATTTTAAAATAAAATAAGATCTAAAAGTAACATTTTCGTACCAAGAACACGTCCCGTTGCGAACTGCTCTTCTAAAGCAGGTTCAACCTTAGCAAATCGCTGTCTAGCCTTGTATTTGGATTCGCTTTTTTTGGAACGTTTTTTGTTCAATACTTCCTCCTCAGCTTCCGTCTATAAAAATAATCACATTCCGTTTTATCTTACAATCCATCTAACAATCCATAATTTAAATTAAATTATATCAAGTTACTCACCAATTTAGCACCCCTTTTGCGGCCGAGAGGAAGGACGTAATGACCCTCATACCATTGTCTGAATGGCGTGGCATCAATGGTGACAATGGCATTCTTCACCAGAGTTTTAGTTCGCACCAATTCATTGTTAGACGCATTGTAAACAACATCGATGATACGAGTTTTTCTGGTACTACACTCAGAGCCCCAGGAGAAGTTTCCTGTATCCAATCTAAGAGCTCTGTACTTCTTATTACCTCCTCGTGTACGGACCTTGTACAGACAAAAATTTACTTATAACCATGTTCAAAATATTAAATATAATGTTATATTTAAGGTTTCCATCAGCGTGCTGTGAGATTTTGTGGTCATCATGGCACTCAGAGTAGGTAAGGTAATCATCATGTTATATTTTCATAATAAAGTTAACAGTTGTTATATCCAAATATTTTTCTGTAAATGGTTGTGATAACGCAAATATTCTTGTAAATTTTAATTTTATTGTTATTATTTTAACATTGATACTTAGTCATTGTTTCAGAATTTATTGTAAAAAGAAACTCAAACTTACCGTATGAATCCGCTGTGGTCCAAGCTTAGTGTTTGCAGCTGGACGTCCTAACTCAAACTTCCTCTTCTTACGGATGGGCTTTCTCTTTCCACCCGTGGCTCTCCGCTTATGCCAATGATCCCGCGAAATACCTGCAATACAACATTCATAAGTATACCTGTAATACAACATTCGTAAACCTAGACAAAAATGTAACCTAATCAGTGCACAATCTTGACAATACAAAACTAATCTGTTTTTACGTGGATTATAGAAATTTATAGCTATGCAAATAATCTACGATATCTACATTCACCAATAGCGTGATATTCATTCAAATAAGCAAAGAAGTGAAGCATAACACAAAAACGAAACGTTTAGAGTCGACGTTTTGCGAAACAGTTTTAGCGGTGGAACGTAAAGATACAAAAATAATATTTTCTTCAGAATAAAGAACAGAATTCTGTTCACGCGCTGTTCATAATTCATCGCGATATTGCGACAATAAAAGCTGGATTCGTATCGATAAAAATAAATTTCTCTAAAATCACGCTTCTTACCCATCGTGCCGCGAGGTAAAAAGAACTTTGAGTACTCGAATAGTAGAGAAAATTGCGTCTAACGGAAACTTCCCTAAGAGCGCGCTCTCTACAAACAGAATCCGAACGAGTGAAACCAAAAGTTTACAACCGAGAGAGATAGTCGATTTGTAAGTCTACATTTCACTCTATCCTACAGCAAGTTTCCAATTTACAACCAATAGCGGCGTTGATGGATGACACGATTGCCAACTGCTTGCTTCACTTGTTGTGCGGAATAATTTGAATATTTCTATATATCGCGAAGAGATCGGCGTCGAAAAGAAAGTCCCTACGCGCACGTCGCGCGATACATGGAACATTTGTGGACGTCAGTAACCGCCTTCCCGCACTGCGTCGTGCTTATGTTACGCTACAAACTTTTGTAGCGTTATAAGAGGCATTGTATGTGATTTTGGAATGTGGTTCTTTTCGGTGAGAACGTCAATGAAACTCGAGTGTCTGAGAAGTGTTGTGCGCGGGTGTGCGAGTGATCCGGCGATATTTCCTCGGTGCGGGATTTCTACGTAGGTATGTGCATTTTTTTCCTGCGACCCTTACGCGGGCTATCGACTGCTGTCAAATCAAAGCGCAAGCAAAAATCCGGCGTTTTGCGCTGCGCAGCTCGTCTTTTCCCATTCCGGAAACGCGTGAGATCAACGAGGAAGCGGCTCACGCGTCGTCTGTCAAGCCGCGAACTTTCCCGCGTTTATCGACAAAACGGCGGTAACCTCCAACGTCGCCCGACTTCTCCGATGCTGTCTTCTTCTGACATAAAACAGCCGTTCGGCGTAGCATCGCGCGGATGGCTTGCCCTACTTCGTACGCGATGCACATCGAGCCGCTCATCGCCCGATTCCATTACTCGCGTAAATCTTCATCGTCCGCCACCGATACCTTTAGCCGAATATATTTTCGGCTTTTAATTTCTTTTTCAATTAATTTCATGTGACGCGTAATTAATTCGCCGTCTTCTTTATGCCAACAGCGCAAATATGAACACCACGTTGAGCACCGTGAGCAGCGGCGGTGATAAACGCCTGCCGGAAACAACTGTGCAAGCTGTGGCGCAAAACTTAACGACAATGCAAAATGTACAAAGTGTGCAAAATGTACAAAGTGTGGTTCAAAGTAGTATGCAGAACATTGCTCAGCCGACCCAGACGATTGTTGGATCAGTGGGAACATCCAGCAGCCTAGTAGGCAAATCAGTGTCGCTTGATATGAATCCGAAGTTGTCCCTAATGAAGCCCGTGGTCCCTTCTGGTGGCACTACCTCATCTACAGAAACCAGTAAAATACAAACAACAACGGTAATATTACATATTGAATTTTTACGCATAATAATATTACCGTATCAATATACTGCAATGTATACAAATCTTCGTTAAGTTGGATCGAATCACTCTTTCTTTTGAAATTTTCTTTATGTAGAAAGTTTGAAGTAGTTTGTAACGTTTTAATGACTTATATCTTGTATCTTGTAATAATATCAATTCCACTGCTTCTAGTTATGTTCTGTAGGTTCTGTAGGGTCTACAGTAAGATTAATATCACCAGCAATGTTAAATGTGGAAAGGCAAAGCCAACCACAGTCACAGCAGCTGGCGCAACAAACGGTCAGCATGCCAGCCACGTATCATGTGCCGCGAGGACCTGCAGCAGTTGCTAATATCTCTGCGCCGAGGTCAACTGTCGCCACTCCTATGGTCAGGGCGAATACTGGACAGACTGTGCCTACTACTAGACCAAGGTATATACATTTAATAAAATTCAGTAAAAAAGCAAATACAATGCGATCAAAATAAAAATATGCACATGTTAAATTGTTGTATACATATCTTGTTTGTTTTTTTTTGACAGTAATACACCAATCACTAATCTTCAATGGCCACCTAAAACAACGTCCGTCGTATATGCGCAAAGACACCCTCCACCACAAGTCAGCAGAGTTTCCAGGCCATCGTCTGCCGTGTACACGGGACAACAACCGCGGCTAATTACGCCCACCAATCAAGGGAGACCTGTTCAAGCCACTATGGTCACTGGTAGTCCGTCCAGATTAATGACGCCCATTCTACAAACGAATAGTAGTATTACTAGACTTCCAGTTCCACAAAACAGACCGCCGACGCCGCAGGTAGTAACGGTCACGCAGACTCCGCAACCTGGAAAGTCGTCGTCGCAGACGATTCAGGTAAATCGTCACGCAACATGATATGGAATGTATTGTATGTATATAATACTGTGCAGCTTTTAACCCTATGTTTTACATACAGCTTTGAACACTTACAGCTATCAGTTTTGCATCTTGATACACATATATTGGCACAATGCGTTTGATCCGGAACTGAAGACATACGTAACACTGCGTGTAACTTTCTGAATGCACCTAAATATGAAGATATTGAAAATGTACAATTTATTAACGTGTACAATTTTTTTGGTTGAAATGTTTAGCCAGCTAGCCAATCCAGCAGGCCTCTAGCTACGACAGGCACCACGAAACGCATTGCTGTGTCAGCACCCGTTGTGGAGACCGGCAACAGAATAAGTGGCACGACTGCGGTTACTGTCGGCTCGGTGGAATCGACGGTGGGTCGACAATTGTCAATTAATACAGTGGCCGGGCCATCAACTGTTAGCCATATCGTTATTCCTTCGCAGCAAGTTAGTATGCGCACATATGTCGCATTCCCCGAACGCATTCCTCGCTTATTCTTTCAAGATGATTGACAAATAAACCGCTTGTCAAACAGGTCCAACAGCAACAAGGTGCGCCGCGTGTCGTCACATGTTTATCGAGTCTCAGTACGGTGTCGCAAGTGATTACAACAACCACGAATACGCAAGCGAATGCGATGCGCATACTGCAGACAGTTCCGACGACAGTCGCGAAAATTACAGGAATGTCTTTGCACCCTTTGCCCATTGTACCAGTGAGGGCCGCGCCGGCGCCAGTCAAGCCCGCCACTGTACAGCCCCAAAATATCGGACCAACTGTCCAGATCAAGCCAGCGCAACAAACCAGTTTACGCGTGTCGGCTACTAACACGGCTACCAGTTCCGCTCAGCCGGTTCAAGGACAGTATATACACCCACCACAAAGCACTACATATTATTCTTTTGAAGCCACAGGTGAATAGCTATTATTTGAAGCATGCGAACAAAAAGGAAAAAAATAGAAATTATCTTCTAGAAGATATCTAACAGATTATTCTAGTAAATTACCTTCTAAAAGAATAATCTAGTAATCTTTTTCTAGACGATTATTCACTAAAATAATTTGCTAGGTATCTCCTAAAAGATAATTTGCATTTTTTTCTTTTATTTTATAAATGACTATCACATTGTATTTTATTTTTCAGGCGCATACTCACAATATCGACAGACAACAGTACAACCTGTAAGATTAGTTGTAGAACCAGGATATGAGGAATCTACGCATAGTAAACCCAACGCGTCTCCCAGACCGAGCATTCTGAGGAAGAGAGATCATGACAATTCACCTGTGAAAGGTATAAATATGTTGAAATTACAATAAGCTATTCAACTAAAGGAATAGTATACATATTTTATATATATTTTCAATAGGAAGACTAAATGCAATTAAAACATTATTAATGATCACAATATGCATTTAAAATTGTTTTAAATATATGTCTATGTTATTTATCTATAATGTGTTATTTATCTATAACGATAAAAATTGAAAAATTTTGTATGGCTTTCTACATACCTTGTCTTACTGATAAAATATATACATATGATAGCTATAATCAGATACGAAAGAAAAGAACTTACAATTGGTTTGTTCAGGCTATCAGTTTACTAAAGTGAAGTGAAGTTCAAAGAGCACTAATATAAGAAATTTAAAATAATTTTTTTTTTGTTCAATAAAATTGTTTCAGTGATCATAACACAGTAATTAAAAGTAATAATAAACTTGGCTTTCATATTGTCCAATATTTAAAAAAATGTAATAAAGAGCCAGAGCCAGTTGAGCTCACAAAATTTATTTCATACGATATTAATATTAATCAATTATCATATGAAATAAATTTTGAACACGTTCAACCGATTCTGGCTCTTGCAGCTTTATTACATTTTCTAAATTATAATACAGTAATTTTAGTTACATTATTTTATTTTATTTTCTTATTATACGTTAAGATAAATATTTTTTTTATCAAAACGTGCTTTTAATAATTATATTTTAATATATATTTAATATGGACAATAATATTAAATGAAATATGTCAGAATATAAAGTCAGTAAAGATTCATTAGAGTTACAAAATATGTTGTTTATGCATTTATTAGAAATTTTCATATGTAAAATTACATAAATAATTATAACTGTAATTATATTCAAAGAGCTATTTACTTGTTCAGTTTTTTTAATATATTGAATTTTGTATCACAAAACTTACATAATTTCTTTAATTTTATTAGGTGCAGCTAAAAATTTAGTCCCTGTACTCGCATCTTTATCGTCAAGTAGATCGATGTCTAGTCCACCATGTTCGCCAAAAGGGGATCAGGATGGTGGCCAAAGTTCTGGTTCCACGACTGTATCCGCTACGTCCTCGCCAGGTCTTGACGAGGAACCCGAACAATCTAGAATTACTATTAATCCTACTATAGAAATGTCGCCGAGAAAAAAGCCACGTAAGCAACAACTTACAGGTGTAGAATTAACCGAATCTAGAGGCATAGAAGAGGAGATGCAATTTATTACGGAAGAAAGGATGAAGAAGGAAAACAAGGAAGAATCAAAAGAGAAATTATCTGATAAGAGACAAGTCTCCAGTGTACAGAGTGATATTAAATCGCCTCAACAAACGGAAATTACGATACGGACGCGGCCTGTACCAAGTTTGTTAGGTAAATTAAAAAAGCAAATGTTTATCGCAAAGAAGTTTAATCGCATATCTGTTCTTCTCATGTCGATTATATATTTTTCGCTATACGCATTCTCCCTTTTCAGGCTCTTCCTGGAAAAGTAAATGGGCAGTCAGATTACACCATTACAGAAGGCCCAGTGACGTTCGACCTCGCGAGGAGAGAAGGCCGACGGTTGCTGAATTGGCGCAGCAGAAACACGTATTACAAAAACTAAATGGATGGAAGATCTACCATCTCACCGCGCAAATGGAAGATATCGCGGATCTTGAGAAGCAAGTACGTGTCGAATTTAATCTCATCAATTTTATCCGAGCAATAAGCGACTTTCGTTGTACTTTAATTGTAATGATAACACTGTATGTGCACTGCAGGTTCACGAAAAGTTAAAAACGACGCTAATGCTGTTAGAGTCGCAACAAACTGTCAAAAGCAGACATACCGAGCTTGAGCGTGTGAACGAGTTGATCAAGGGTAACATGCAACGCAGTAGTTTAATCAGCGAGGGCATGAACGAAGCACGTTCACAACTCGTCGCTATATTTCAACACAAGGGCCCTATCACTGACCTTTTACAACGCTGTGGTAACAAACGGGCTCAGAAAAAAAGGGACAAATGAACTGCTGTATCGAACGAATATCGAGGAAATTTATAAACAAACTTTGTTAAAAGAAAACTCACAAGGGAGATATTTTTATCTGTCTCACAGATTCTACATAGGAATAAATAAATGGTTTTATAAAGTTTAAAAGA